TCAAACAACTTCTATACAACGAAAGGAGACTGCGACCACACAAAAGGCCACACCATCTTGGCCTTTATATCTTCGAGTAAATAAAATCTAAATTATACTGCCAGAAAAATTCCTTAAGTAAAAAGTAAAGCAATGAGAATATCAGAATACAATCCCTATCTGATAATGTTTGTTTAAAGAGAAAACTAGAAATATATCAAGCTCGTAAATCAGAGAGATAGATACAAAAGTCAATTTTTACAGGTGTTCAAACAAAGTGGTTCGGAAGTGTCAATCAATTATAAATAAAATAACGAAATAAAGGGGTACCTTCGATGCGAAGATGAATAGAAGCAACATCCCGACACTCGCTTCCACAGATTGTGCGTGACTTTTGATCTGATCCGGCTGAGTCATTTGAAATATTGGTCTGATCAGTAAGGATGAGAAGGGCCTCTGACGCTGATACCCAGTAGCCAGCCCTTGTTCGTCGCTTTTTTTTTACAGGATGGACGGTGTCGTTAGGAGAGCCAGTGACATGCATACTATGCTCTAAAGAGAAAATAGTAATATCAGAAATGTAGTTTTGGTATGAAGAAAAACTGGATTTATAAAAAGCCCTTTGGTATAAATAAGGGAATTATTCTTCCATTTTATCTCACTTCCTTTTTTCTAACTCACTAAATGTGAACATTTCGTCACAAATGCATTGATGTACAGCGTTTGCTAAATAAAGATCGTTGTAAATTTGAGCCTCATAAGGGAATGGAAATCTAAATCTAGCTGTCCATAGCCCCATAACGTAAGTGTATTGTCCTTATGGAGACTGTCTTCGATTAATTGAAGCAAATTTTTCTTTTTAAAGTATTTATTCAAAAGGTCGTTGATTTAAATAGACTGTAATGTAAACCGCAGATAGGTCTCATCAACATAGGAATTATTACCGTGGACGTGCTGGCCAAGATAAACATTTCAGACAAAAAGCATCACGACTCAAGCCATATTTATCTTAGACGATAAACATAACCTTTAAATAAAATAAGTCTCCCTTGAAGCATATCAGCTTGTAGGAAATTTCCTATGGATAGTAATCGTGTATAGGCCTTTAGGATAAGTATGAAAACAAATGTATCTTTACTTAAGGCACTTTCACAGATAATAGGGGCCTGATTGTAGTAGAATAATAGTTTAAAGTCAAAATACAACTGTCTAGAGGAGCGAAATTTCCAAAAAATGCCGCTAAACCGTTCAAAGGTGTAAAGAGCAAAATAGTATAGCATTTTGTGTGGTCGCAGTCTCCTTTCGTTGTATAGAAGTTGTTTGAACTTGTTTTTAGCAACATGGTCATATTGGTGGGAAGACTTAGAGTAACGCACCTAGTCCGGAGTCCATTGTATGAATGAGCATTTCCAAAGTTGGACCGTGGACATGATACTTTCCCAGACGTTTCGCCGGCATTGTAGTCGGCATCGTTAATGAGTCTCGCCATTCGTAGCACCATAGTACAGCACGTCAAAGAGACAAGTGAAGTCCATCCTTTGTCCAAACGTGTGCTAAACAGTTGTGGCATCTCCCCTTATGTCCTGGGTTATTCACATTTATTATAACCTCCTATTACGCTTTCCCTGTCACAATTTTTACCGTGCTTATTTTGATGTGCTCCTTCGAGCGGCATTCATTAAAACTCATCACACTCCACGCTGTCGTTATCAACCCCTTCACCCTTGTGCTGGGAATGTTCCGCTATTTCGGATCTGTTCGTATCCATGTTCCTGCAGAATCTTTGATGTTCCTTGATTCGTAGGCCGATTTTTCTTCCTGTTTTACCGATATACTTCTGCTCACAGTTGCCGCATTTGATGCGATAAACTACCGATCAATCAAGTTTGTCCGTCTTCTCGTGTTGCGTCGGCAGACAGGTGAAAAATGTTTTCTCCCATTTTATCACCTTGATATTCCATTTCCTTAGTAATTGTCGAAATTGTTGGCTCAGTTCTAATGAGGGCAGGCAAATCCACTTTTGATTGTCAACCTGATTCCTTATCTGATTTTCATTAAATCCAAGTTGAAATCTGCCCTTTATAACCTCCACATTTTTTCAATTAATTCTCTGGGGTATCCGTTACTAAGGCAAATCCGTGTCAGTTTGTTCAACTCCTCGTCCCAGAACTCATTGTCCATAGTTTAATCGGATGTATGAAGACCAAGATAGTGTAGCCTTTAGTGCGGTCGCAAGAGGGAGACTCTGATAGGACACATGGAAGGACTACGTTACAATACGACAGACTCTGGTCAACATTCACAGCACAAGGGTGAAAGGGGTGAGAACGACAGTGGGGAGTGTGAAGGGTTTTCATGAATGGCGCTCGAAGGAGCACACCACACTACATCAAAATAAGCACGGTAAAAATGGTGACAGTGAAGGCGTGATAGGAGGATATAGGAAATGTGAATAACCCAGGGCAGAAGGGGAGATACCACAACTGTTTAGCACACGTTTGGACAAAGTATGGGCTTCATTTGTCTCTTTGACGAGCTGTCCTATGGTGCTACGAATGGCGAGACTCACTGACGATGCCGACTACGATGCCGGCGAAACCACTGGAAGAGTACTATGTCCATGGTCCATCTTTTGAAATGATCATGCATACAATGGACTCCGGACTAGCTGTGCTCCTCTTAGTCTTCCTACCAATATGACCAAGTTCCGAAAACAAGGTCAAACAACATCTGTTCAAAGGTGAGTTGAAAGTAATTAAATCGTATATATGAAAAGGAATATGTGGATCGCAGTCTCTTTTCTATGAATATTAGTAATTTTATATGATCTTCGCAATTTTATCGTGCCGTCAGGGCTACTCCGATGTCCATACTATGCCTAGAATCCTATGCATTTTATTAATGACAGTTTCTAATATAGAATCGTTGACTTGTTACATTCCCAGACGTTTCGTCGACATCGTCAATAAGCCATAATATTCTTAGCTCCAAGCTAGAACTAATCATAGTTTAACCAACTTCTGCAGACAATTTAGTTATCTCTCCTTCTGTTTTGGTGAATCTACCCATTCCCTATCCTCATATCTTATTTTCTTTATCTATAACTTGTTTATTCTATACTAAGGAGTTATCCAACCTGTCTCCTGCCTTTCCGCCATTGACCGGAATTCCTGATTCGACTTGGCTATTCCAGCTTGCAAACCACTTCACTTAATTCCTATCCGAATCTTCGCTGTGCCCTCGCTTCTTTGATTACAAGATTACTTATTACAAACGGCTGCAGTGACTGGATCCTTTCCCACCGAAAAGTTATTTTCCATCATCGTTTGAAAGGCTGTATACTGTAGCATGACTAAGCAGAATTCTAAAGCCCTGATTTCCAAGCTTTTTGAGATCATCCTACCAACCTAACACTGTTTTGTATAGAGGTTGTTTGACCTTGTTTTCGCAATATGGTCATATTGGTAGGAAGACTTAGAGAAACGCACCTAGTCCGGAGTCCATTGTGTGCATGATCATTTCCAAAGTTGAACCGTGGACGTGGTAAATTCCCAACATTAACACTGTTTTATCTGGATCTCGGCATATGCGCTAATTTCGCAAATCTAATGGTCCGGTATTTTATTCGAGGGCCAGCTTCATGACTGAGTGTGCATTCTGAGCCAATTAAGAACTTATGCATTTATTCTCCGATGTAGTCAAGCCAGTTTTTTTCTTCTATCCATAATGGACATGTTTATAGTTGTGACTGTCATTATTCCTATCACCTTATGAGTAAAAAACTAAAATGTTGTAATTACCTCCTTGGGTTAACTTCTCTCACTGGAACCGTTATTTCGATTCCCGACTATATCCCGCGGAACTCATCCTAGCGATCAGCTAACTTGAGATG